CATGGCTCACGTGTTCAATCTGGTTGTCAAGCGGTTCCTAAAATCCACCATCCCACTGCAAGACATCCTTAAAATGTCACGTAAACTTTGCATGCATTTCAGCCATTCCTACACCGCAAAGCACACCCTCCTTGAGCTGCAGCGGCAGAACGGAATTCCACATCATCGCCTGATCTGCGACGTTGCAACAAGGTGGAATTCAACCCTACACATGTTAGACCGCCGCCTTTACGAGCAGCGAAAGGCCATCACCGATTTCCTGATGTTACAAGCGGATAAAGGTACTCCCCTGTGTAACTTCGATGTCAGCCATTGGCAGCTCATGCGTGACACCTGCCGCTTGCTCAGGCCCTTTGAGGAGGCCACGCTATTCGTGAGTCGGCAGGACTATGGGATGAACGACGTCATTCCTCTGTTGCACGTCCTTGAACAAATGCTTTAACAATGGCTGGTCAGGGTGCGGTAGACGTGGCGCACAGATCTCAACGCCACATGACCCCTGTGGGGGCAGGACAGGAAGAAGAGGAGGAGGTAGAGGAGGACATTTGTGCTCAGGAATTATTGAGTGAAATGGGTGGTTTTTTCCACTCAGCGGACAGGAGTGGAGGAGCAGGAGCATCTGGTAGAGGAGGAGGAGGAGGAGACAGAGGACCCAGACGCACCGTGGCAGTATGCTGTGGAGATGGAGGCAGGGAGTCCCTCGCATTCCTTGGCACAAATGGCCCATAGCATGCTCGGTTGCTTGCGTAGCGACAGCCGAATAATAACCATCAGACAGAGGGATGACTTTTGGCTGTCCACCTTGTTGGACCCTCGCTACCGTTCAAAAATGGTGGCCTTTTTCACACCTGCTGAGAGGGAGGCCAAAATAACGTACTATAAAAACCACCTATGTAGTCAGTTGGTCTCTGCCTTTGTGCGCAACGTCCATCCTCAGACACACTGTGGGCCCTGTGCGCTCGCGTTCCGCTGCCATGGCAGCAGGGGAGGGGTGGGGTGGTAGGAGCAGTGGCAGCTCCACCAGCAGCGGCTGCCTCAGTCTGCAGTCGATGATGAGTAGCTTTCTTCACCAGCGCAGTGAGGAAACTACTAACCAGCCCGCAGCAGCAGCAGCATCAGGTGGACCTGGAGCAGGACCTCAAACAACAGGCTTGGGCCTACTTGGACAGCACCCTGCCAACCGAGGTAGACAATCCCCTTGACTACTGGGCAACGAAACTTGACCTTTGGCCCCAACTAGCTGAATTTGCCCTTGAAAGGCTGTCATGCCCGGCCAGTAGCGTGGCATCGGAGCGCGTGTTTAGTGCGGCAGGAGGTATTGTAACTCCGCGGAGGACACGACTGTCCACCCAAAGTGTGGAGAGACTCACGTTTGTGAAAATGAATCAGGCGTGGATTTCTGGATTTCAAACCACCAGTTCCTGACACAACTGACTAAATCCGCCATGAATCATGCCTCAAACATGTGCCACTTTCAGGTCTCCTCACACACTGCTGGTGTGTTGAATTTTTTGACATAGGGTGCTGGCAGATTACGGGCCTCCCATAGCTGCTGCCAGGCCCCTAATCTGCCATAGGCCCCTATATACCGCCTCCTCATGCTGCTGCCAAGTCCAGAGTCTCTCATGGGTCCCTGTACGGCCTCCCATTGCTGCTGTCTCCATCGCCACACTCTGCCATGTGCCACTTTCAGGTCTCCTCACACACTGCTGTGTGTGTGTTAGAAATTTTTTGACATAGGGTGCTGGCAGATTACGGGCCTCCCATAGCTGCTGCCAGGCCCCTAATCTGCCATGGCCCTATATATACCGCCTCCTCATGCTGCTGCCAGGTCCAGAGTCTCTCATGGGTCCCTGTACGGCCTCCCATTGCTGCTGTCTCCATCGCCCACTCTGCCATGTGCCACTTTCAGGTCTCTCTCCTCACACTGCTGGTGTGTTAGAAATTTTTTGACATAGGGTGCTGGCAGATTACGGGCCTCCATAGCTGCTGCCAGGCCCCTAATCTGCCATGGGCCCCTATATACCGCCTCCTCATGCTGCCAGGTCCAGAGTCTCTCATGGGTCCCTGTACGGCCTCCCATTGCTGCTGTCTCCATCGCCACACTCTGCCATGTGCCACTTTCAGGTCTCCTCACACACTGCTGGTGTGTTTGAATTTTTTGACATAGGGTGCTGGCAGATTACGGGCCTCCCATAGCTGCTGCCAGGCCCCTAATCTGCCATGGGCCCCTATATACCGCCTCCTCATGCTGCTGCCAGGTCCAGAGTCTCTCATGGGTCCCTGTACGGCCTCCCATTGCTGCTGTCTCCATCGCCACACTCTGCCATGTGCCACTTTCAGGTCTCCTCACACTGCTGGTGTGTTGAATTTTTTGACATAGGTGCTGGCAGATTACGGGCCTCCCATAGCTGCTGCCAGGCCCCTAATCTGCCATGGGCCCCTATATACCGCCTCCTCATGCTGCTGCCAGTCCAGAGTCTCTCATGGGTCCCTGTACGGCCTCCCATTGCTGCTGTCTCCATCGCCACACTCTGCCATGTGCCACTTTCAGGTCTCCTCACACACTGCTGGTGTGTAGAATTTTTTGACATAGGGTGCTGGCAGATTACGGGCCTCCCATAGCTGCTGCCAGGCCCCTAATCTGCCATGGGCCCCCTATATACCGCCTCCTCATGCTGCTGCCAAGTCCAGAGTCTCTCATGGGTCCCTGTACGGCCTCCCATTGCTGCTGTCTCCATCGCCACACTCTGCCATGTGCCACTTTCAGGTCTCCTCACACTGCTGGTGTGTGTTGAATTTTTTGACATAGGGTGCTGGCAGATTACGGGCCTCCTATAGCTGCTGCCAGGCCCCTAATCTGCCATGGGCCCCTATATACCGCTCCTCCTCATGCTGCTGCCAGGTCCAGAGTCTCTCATGGGTCCCTGTACGGCCTCCCATTGCTGCTGTCTCCATCGCCACACTCTGCCATGTGCCACTTTCAGGTCTCCTCACACACTGCTGGTGTGTGAATTTTTTGACATAGGGTGCTGGCAGATTACGGGCCTCCCATAGCTGCTGCCAGGCCCCTAATCTGCCATGGGCCCCTATATACCGCCTCCTCATGCTGCTGCCAAGTCCAGAGTCTCTCATGGGTCCCTGTACGGCCTCCCATTGCTGCTGTCTCCATCGCCACACTCTGCCATGTGCCACTTTCAGGTCTCCTCACACACTGCTGGTGTGTGTTTGAATTTTTTGACATAGGGTGCTGGCAGATTACGGGCCTCCATATAGCTGCTGCCAGGCCCCTAATCTGCCATGGGCCCCTATATACCGCCTCCTCATGCTGCTGCCAAGTCCAGAGTCTCTCATGGGTCCCTGTACGGCCTCCATGCTGCTGCTGTCTCCATCGCCACACTCTGCCATGTGCCACTTTCAGGTCTCCTCACACACTGCTGGTGTGTTGAATTTTTTTGACATAGGGTGCTGGCAGATTACGGGCCTCCCATAGCTGCTGCCAGGCCCCTAATCTGCCATGGGCCCCTATATACCGCCTCCTCATGCTGCTGCCAAGTCCAGAGTCTCTCATGGGTCCCTGTACGGCCTCCCATTGCTGCTGTCTCCATCGCCACACTCTGCCATGTGCCACTTTCAGGTCTCCTCACACACACTGCTGTGTGTTGAATTTTTTGACATAGGGTGCTGGCAGATTACGGGCCTCCCATAGCTGCTGCCAGGCCCCTAATCTGCCATGGGCCCCTATATATACCCGCCTCCTCATGCTGCTGCCAAGTCCAGAGTCTCTCATGGGTCCCTGTACGGCCTCCCATTGCTGCTGTCTGCTGTCTCCATCGCCACACTCTGCCATGTGCCACTTTCAGGTCTCCTCACACACTGCTGGTGTGTGAATTTTTTGACATAGGGTGCTGGCAGATTACGGGCCTCCCATAGCTGCTGCCCAGGCCCCTAATCTGCCATGGGCCCCTATATACCGCCTCCTCATGCTGCTGCTGCTGCCAAGTCCAGAGTCTCTCATGGGTCCCTGTACGGCCTCCCATTGCTGCTGTCTCCATCGCCACACTCTCTGCCATGTGCCACTTTCAGGTCTCCTCACACTGCTGCTGTGTGTTTGAATTTTTTGACATAGGGTGCTGGCAGATTACGGGCCTCCTATAGCTGCTGCCAGGCCCCTAATCTGCCATGGGCCCCTATATATACCGCCTCCTCATGCTGCTGCTGCCAGGTCCAGAGTCTCTCATGGGTCCCTGTACGGCCTCCCATTGCTGCTGTCTCCATCGCCCACACTCTGCCATGTGCCACTTTCAGGTCTCCTCACACACTGCTGTGTGTGAATTTTTTGACATAGGGTGCTGGCAGATTACGGGCCTCCCCATAGCTGCTGCCCAGGCCCCTAATCTGCCATGGGCCCCTATATACCCGCCTCCTCATGCTGCTGCCAGGTCCAGAGTCTCTCATGGGTCCCTGTACGGCCTCCCATTGCTGCTGTCTCCATCGCCACACTCTGCCATGTGCCACTTTCAGGTCTCCTCACACACTGCTGGTGTGTTTAAATTTTTTGACATAGGGTGCTGGCAGATTACGGGCCCTCCCATAGCTGCTGCCAGGCCCCTAATCTGCCATGGGCCCCTATATACCGCCCTCCTCATGCTGCTGCCCAAGTCCAGAGTCTCTCATAGGGGTACGGGCCCCTGCTGCCAGGCCCCTAATCTGCCACGGCCCCCATGCTGCTGCCAGGTCCTCATGGGTCCCTGTCTCCATTGCTGCTGTCTCCACGCCACACTCTGCCATGTGCCACTTTCAGGTCTCCTCACACTGCTGTGTGTTGAATTTTTTGACATGGTGCTGGCAGATTACGGGCCTCCCATAGCTGCTGCCAGGCCCCTAATCTGCCCATGGGCCCCTATATACCGCCTCCTCATGCTGCTGCCAGGTCCAGAGTCTCTCATGGGTCCCTGTACGGCCTCCCATTGCTGCTGTCTCCATCGCCACACTCTGCCATGTGCCACTTTCAGGTCTCCTCACACTGCTGGTGTGTTGAATTTTTTGACATAGGGTGCTGGCAGATTACGGGCCTCCCATAGCTGCTGCCAGGCCCCTAATCTGCCATGGGCCCCTATATACCGCCTCCTCATGCTGCTGCCAGGTCCAGAGTCTCTCATGGGTCCCTGTACGGCCTCCCATTGCTGCTGTCTCCATCGCCACACTCTGCCATGTGCCACTTTCAGGTCTCCTCACACACTGCTGGTGTGTTGAATTTTTTGACATAGGGTGCTGGCAGATTACGGGCCTCCCATAGCTGCTGCCAGGCCCCTAATCTGCCATGGCCCCCCTATATACCGCCTCCTCATGCTGCTGCCAAGTCCAGAGTCTCTCATGGGTCCCTGTACGGCCTCCCATTGCTGCTGTCTCCATCGCCACACTCTGCCATGTGCCACTTTCAGGTCTCCTCACACACTGCTGGTGTGTTGAATTTTTTGACATAGGGTGCTGGCAGATTACGGGCCTCCCTATAGCTGCTGCCAGGCCCCTAATCTGCCATGGGCCCCTATATACCGCCTCCTCATGCTGCTGCCAAGTCCAGAGTCTCTCATGGGTCCCTGTACGGCCTCCCATTGCTGCTGTCTCCATCGCCACACTCTGCCATGTGCCACTTTCAGGTCTCCTCACACACTGCTGTGTGTTAGAATTTTTTGACATAGGGTGCTGGCAGATTACGGGCCTCCCTATAGCTGCTGCCAGGCCCCTAATCTGCCATGGGCCCCTATATACCGCCTCCTCATGCTGCTGCCAGGTCCAGAGTCTCTCTTGGGTCCCTGTACGGCCTCCCATTGCTGCTGTCTCCATCGCCACACTCTGCCATGTGCCACTTTCAGGTCTCTCACACACACTGCTGTGTGTTAGAATTTTTTGACATAGGGTGCTGGCAGATTACGGGCCTCCTATAGCTGCTGCCAGGCCCCTAATCTGCCATGGGCCCCTATATACCGCCTCCTCATGCTGCTGCCAGTCCAGAGTCTCTCATGGGTCCCTGTACGGCCTCCCATTGCTGCTGTCTCCATCGCCACACTCTGCCATGTGCCACTTTCAGGTCTCCACACACACACTGCTGTGTGTAGAATTTTTTTGACATAGGGTGCTGGCAGATTACGGGCCTCCCTATAGCTGCTGCCAGGCCCCTAATCTGCCATGGGCCCCTATATACCGCCTCCTCATGCTGCTGCCAGGTCCAGAGTCTCTCATGGGTCCCTGTACGGCCTCCCATTGCTGCTGTCTCCATCGCCACACTCTGCCATGTGCCCACTTTCAGGTCTCACACACTGCTGTGTGTTGAATTTTTTTTTTGACATAGGGTGCTGGCAGATTACGGGCCTCCCATAGCTGCTGCCAGGCCCCTAATCTGCCATGGCCCCTATATATATACCGCCTCCTCATGCTGCTGCCAAGTCCAGAGTCTCTCATGGGTCCCTGTACGGCCTCCCATTGCTGCTGTCTCCATCGCCACACTCTGCCATGTGCCACTTTCAGGTCTCCTCTCACACTGCTGTGTGTTGAATTTTTTGACATAGGGTGCTGGCAGATTACGGGCCTCCTATAGCTGCTGCCAGGCCCCTAATCTGCCATGGGCCCCTATATACCGCCTCCTCATGCTGCTGCCAGGTCCAGAGTCTCTCATGGGTCCCTGTACGGTACGGCCTCCCATTGCTGCTGTCTCCATCGCCACACTCTGCCATGTGCCACTTTCAGGTCTCCTCACACTGCTGGTGTGAATTTTTTGACATAGGGTGCTGGCAGATTACGGGCCTCCCATAGCTGCTGCCAGGCCCCTAATCTGCCATGGGCCCCCTATATACCGCCTCCTCATGCTGCTGCCAAGTCCAGAGTCTCTCATGGGTCCCTGTACGGCCTCCCATTGCTGCTGTCTCCATCGCCACACTCTGCCATGTGCCACTTTCAGGTCTCCTCACACACTGCTGGTGTGTAGAATTTTTTGACATAGGGTGCTGGCAGATTACGGGCCTCCTATAGCTGCTGCCAGGCCCCTAATCTGCCATGGGCCCCTATATACCGCCTCCTCATGCTGCCAGGTCCAGAGTCTCTCATGGGTCCCTGTACGGCCTCCCATTGCTGCTGTCTCCATCGCCACACTCTGCCATGTGCCACTTTCAGGTCTCCTCACACACTGCTGTGTGTTGAATTTTTTGACATAGGGTGCTGGCAGATTACGGGCCTCCTATAGCTGCTGCCGGCCCCTAATCTGCCATGGGCCCCTATATACCGCCTCCTCATGCTGCTGCCAGTCCAGAGTCTCTCATGGGTCCCCTGTACGGCCTCCCATTGCTGCTGTCTCCATCGCCACACTCTGCCATGTGCCACTTTCAGGTCTCCTCACACACTGCTGTGTGTTGAATTTTTTGACATAGGGTGCTGGCAGATTACGGGCCTCCTATAGCTGCTGCCAGGCCCCTAATCTGCCATGGGCCCCTATATACCGCCTCCCTCATGCTGCTGCCAGGTCCAGAGTCTCTCATGGGTCCCTGTACGGCCTCCCATTGCTGCTGTCTCCATCGCCACACTCTGCCATGTGCCACTTTCAGGTCTCCTCACACTGCTGGTGTTGAATTTTTTGACATAGGGTGCTGGCAGATTACGGGCCTCCCATAGCTGCTGCCAGGCCCCTAATCTGCCATGGGCCCCCCTATATACCGCCTCCTCATGCTGCTGCCAGGTCCAGAGTCTCCATGGGGTCCCTGTACGGCCTCCCATTGCTGCTGTCTCCATCGCCACACTCTGCCATGTGCCACTTTCAGGTCTCCTCACACACTGCTGGTGTGTTGAATTTTTTGACATAGGGTGCTGGCAGATTACGGGCCTCCTATAGCTGCTGCCAGGCCCCTAATCTGCCATGGGCCCCTATATACCGCCTCCTCATGCTGCTGCCAGGTCCAGAGTCTCTCTCATGGGTCCCTGTACGGCCTCCCATTGCTGCTGTCTCCATCGCCACACTCTGCCATGTGCCACTTTCAGGTCTCTCCACACACTGCTGTGTGTTTTGAATTTTTTGACATAGGGTGCTGGCAGATTACGGGCCTCCCTATAGCTGCTGCCAGGCCCCTAATCTGCCATGGGCCCCTATATACCGCCTCCTCATGCTGCTGCCAGGTCCAGAGTCTCTCATGGGTCCCTGTACGGCCTCCCATTGCTGCTGTCTCCATCGCCACACACTCTGCCATGTGCCACTTTCAGGTCTCCTCACACTGCTGCTGTGTTTTGAATTTTTTGACATAGGGTGCTGGCAGATTACGGGCCTCCCTATAGCTGCTGCCAGGCCCCTAATCTGCCATGGGCCCCTATATACCGCCTCCTCATGCTGCTGCTGCCAAGTCCAGAGTCTCTCATGGGTCCCTGTACGGCCTCCCATTGCTGCTGTCTCCATCGCCACACTCTGCCATGTGCCACTTTCAGGTCTCTCCTCACACACTGCTGGTGTGTTGAATTTTTTGACATAGGGTGCTGGCAGATTACGGGCCTCCTATAGCTGCTGCCAGGCCCCTAATCTGCCATGGGCCCCCTATATACCGCCTCCTCATGCTGCTGCCAGGTCCAGAGTCTCTCATGGGTCCCTGTACGGCCTCCCATTGCTGCTGTCTCCATCGCCACACTCCATCGCCACACTCTGCCATGTGCCACTTTCAGGTCTCCTCACACACTGCTGGTGTGTTGAATTTTTTTGACATAGGGTGCTGGCAGATTACGGGCCTCCTATAGCTGCTGCCAGGCCCCTAATCTGCCATGGGCCCCTATATACCGCCTCCTCATGCTGCTGCCAGGTCCAGAGTCTCTCATGGGTCCCTGTACGGCCTCCCATTGCTGCTGTCTCCATCGCCACACTCTGCCATGTGCCACTTTCAGGTCTCCTCACACTGCTGCTGTGTTTGAATTTTTTGACATAGGGTGCTGGCAGATTACGGGCCTCCTATAGCTGCTGCCAGGCCCCTAATCTGCCATGGGCCCCTATATACCGCCTCCTCATGCTGCTGCCAAGTCCAGAGTCTCTCATGGGTCCCTGTACGGCCTCCCATTGCTGCTGTCTCCATCGCCACACTCTGCCATGTGCCACTTTCAGGTCTCCTCACACACTGCTGGTGTGTTGAATTTTTTGACATAGGGTGCTGGCAGATTACGGGCCTCCTATAGCGCTGCTGCCAGGCCCCTAATCTGCCATGGGCCCCTATATATACCGCCTCCTCATGCTGCTGCCAGGTCCAGAGTCTCTCATGGGTCCCTGTACGGCCTCCCATTGCTGCTGTCTCCATCGCCACACTCTGCCATGTGCCACTTTCAGGTCTCCTCACACACTGCTGTGTGTGTTGAATTTTTTGACATAGGGTGCTGGCAGATTACGGGCCTCCTATAGCTGCTGCCAGGCCCCTAATCTGCCATGGGCCCCTATATACCGCCTCCTCATGCTGCTGCCAAGTCCAGAGTCTCTCATGGGTCCCTGTACGGCCTCCCATTGCTGCTGCCAGGAGGCAGCAGGGTCGCAGCAGTGTCAGTGGAGGCAAACGGCCACGGAGTAGAGCACCAGCTCCACTGCAGCCTACCACCACGGCCAGTAGTGGTGCCGGTGTGCACGGAGGAAGTAGCAGTCAGCCAGTGAGGAGTAGCGGAGGCAAAGTTTCCTCTCTGCGGTGTGGCAATTTTTCGTCAAGCCGCCCGAGGAAGTAAACGTAGCCGTATGTCGACTATGTGGCCAGAAAGTCAAGCGTGGCCAGGGGCCCATGTTGGGACTACAGCGTTGCGTCAGCATATGCAGCGTCGCCATTCGGTGGCCTGGGAAAACCGTGATAAAGATACGGCGGTTCTGCCTGCCCCAGCCCAGGGTTCCATTTTGTCATAGGGTGCTGGCAGATTACAGGCCTCCCATAGGTGCCGCCAGGCCCCAAATCGGCCATGGGCCCCCCCCCGTACCGCCTGGTCACGCTGCTGCTGAGCCCACAGTGTGACCTGGGTCCCTGTACGGCCTCCCATTGCTTCCACTCTGCCATGTGCCACTTTGAAATCTCCTCACACTCCTGCGGTTGTCCATTTTGTCATAGGTTGCTGGCAGATTACAGGCCTTCCATAGGTGCCACCAGGCCCCAAATCGGCCATGGGCCCCCGTACCGCCTGGTCACGCTGCTGCTGAGCCCACAGTGTGACCTGGGTCCCTGTACCGCCTCCCATTGCTCCCACTCTGCCATGTGCCACTTTGAGGTCTCCTCACACTGCTGGTGTGTTCAATTTTTTGACATAGGGTGCTGGCAGATTACGGGCCTCCCATTGCTGCTGCCAGGCACGTAATCTGCCATGGGCCCCCGTACCGACTCCTCATGCTGTGACGTTGCAACAAGGTGGAATTCAACACTACATATGTTAGACCGCCTTTACGAACAGCGAAAGGCCATCACAGATTTCCTGATGTTAAAAGCGGATAAAGGTACTCCCTGTGTAACTTAGATGTCAGCCATTGTCAGCTCATGCGTGACACCTGCGCTTGCTCAGGCCCTTTGAGGAGGCCACGCTATTCGTGAGTCGGCAGGACTATGGGATGAACGAGGTCAAATCGGCCATGGGCCCCCGTACCGCCTGTTCACGCTGATGCTGGTCCCACAGTGTGACCTGGGTCCCTGTACCGCCTCCCATTGCTCCCACTCTGCCATGTGCCACTTTGAGGTCTCCTCACACTCCTGCGGTTTTCCATTTTGTCATAGGTTGCTGCTGGCAGGTTTACAGGCCTCCCATAGGTGCTGCATAGGTGCTGCCAGGCCCCAAATCTGCCATGGGCCCCCGTACCGCCTGGTCACGCTGCTGCTGGGCCCACAGTGTGACCTGGGTCCCTGTACCGCCTCCCATTGCTCCCACTCTGCCATGTGCCACTTTCAGGTCTCCTCACACTCCTGCTGGTTTCCATTTTGTCATAGGTTGCTGTATGGCCTCCCATTGCTGCTGCCTCCCACCGCCACACTGTGGCTCCAAACACTGGTTTTGGCCCCGTGACTGGCCAAATGAGTGAAGTGTGCGGTGATTCTAAGATCGACGGCACTCATCTGCATGTCATACTGAGTGACAGTATTATTTCTCTTCCCCAGCAGACTCCAGGGCATTTAAATTAAAGGTACAGTGTTCTGCACTAATATTAAGTCTCTCTGAAGCCTAGAAACACCCTTTTTTAAGTTAAATTCACAGCGAATTTATTCGACTCGAATCGAATATTGTCCACGAATTCGCCGAATCAGTCGAATCGAATTTTTCATTTCTTCCAGCATTTTTCATCCACTAGTCTCAGTTTTTTACATTGCATATCTTTTCTGCAATAAAAGCCTGCCTGCTTGCTGTTTCTTACAGTAGACTCTTAGTTCTGCTTTAAGGGAAAGTATAATGTATTTTCAGTGAGTGTATTTTTTGGGTAATATTGTATTCACTTCAATCACCCAATCAGGTGCAAGCAAAAATCAATTTTTAGTCTGAATTCCAGGTATGGATTTTATTGCATAGTTACATAGATCCAGCTTGAAGCAATGTAAGTATGGATCTGCTGTGGAAGTAGATAATCTCTATAGTAGGTACCGCTATGGCAGTAATTCTCTACTTCCACAGCTGTCCTCCCATAGGTATGGTATATACATACCTACACTACTCCAAGCTTGACCAATGTAACTATGCAAAAAATTCATATCTGAAATTCATCTTGAAAATTTTCTGAGACGCATGATTATATTTTTAAAGTAAACACAGCTTTAGCTTATTCACTAAGCAAAATGACCATCAGCTTTAGTAAATCAACCCAAAACACTTGTATTATAAGAAGTTACAGTAAAGCACAACACTTGGAGCTGATGTACTAAAGGGATCATGACTATTTAAAGTGTATCTTATTTTTGGAAAATTAATGACCATTTAGCTTAGTGAATTAGGTGAAGCCGTATTCATTTTGAATACCCAGCCATGTATTTGCAGAATATTAACCTCCTTAAAGTGCAACTAAACCCAAAATGGGAAGTTCCACTTGCCTGCCTCCCCCCCCCTCCACTGCCACATTTGTCACTTTTTGGGGGGAGCAGGTACCTGGTTTTGACAGGTACCTGTTCCTACCTTCAGGGAGATCTAAGCCAGAAGCCTCCCCCAACCCCCACAGTCTTCTGGGACACTTCTCAGGTCCCAGACGACTGCGGCGCATTTACAAAGTGAAGCGCACTTCGCGTATGCGCAGTAGGGAGCCAGCTGTGAAGCCACAAGGCTTCACTGCCAGTTTCCCTAACTCAAGATACTGGAACCAGCACCCAAAGCCCATTGAAGAATCAGCTTGAGTGAGGGACATCACTGGATCCATGGACAGGTAAGCGCCCTTAAAATAAAAGTCACCAGCTACAGTATTTGTAACTTCAGACTTTGAAATTTTTTGGGGGGAGCCCGGAGCTCTGTTTAACATTAAAATTGATTAAACAATGGAAGTCAAAAAGTGAAAAAAAAAGTTGCGCTCAACAGAATTATACCACCATGACACACTGAACTGAAAAGATTTGCATGAATAACTTCAAGTACACAGATAATAACAAGTAAATATGTATATGCAGTATGTATAAAGTATATATATATATATATATATATATATATAATACACATACACACACATAAGAAAAACTCGATCTCGGAGGTGTGGCCCAACTTAAAAATTGATGTATCAGTAACACTCTACAGGTGAAGATGCTGCCAACTTCAAGCATGGTAGAGGAATCCCTGTGTGATTCCTGTGTGATTCAGGGTGGTGCAATTTTCAGCCATTTCATTTGTGTATACACTACTTTTCAAAAATGCACTGCACCGTATCACATGGTACGTTGACCTGCACTCTCTGCTGTTAGCACATTTTTTAAGCCAAGGAGGTTTCGAAATTTCCAATTGTTTAATTTGCATTTATTATAAAAATTACGTTTTTGGATCCCGTGGTGTGTTTGGTGCATGGTGATAAAAGCACCTCACTTTCATGTTTGTAGATTAAGGCACATGAATAGCCTTGCACCAGGCAGCAATGCATGTAATGCGCTTTGCCACATGATACTGCAATTCATAGATGTATATGATCTGTAAATGTGGAGGGTCTGCTTTCTGCTTAGCAAAGCTGAAGTGTCAAGGTTTCTGAATGCAATGAATTAAGTCAAACATAATAAAAAATGAGACTCTCTATGCTTGCTATACTGAGATTATCTCAATGACTAATATATAGGAAATGCTGATCACATTGTCTGATATACGAGTTTATATATAAAAAAAAAAAACAAATTCCAAGGAGTGGAAACTGCATTTATTTTTTACATACTCCCCTGCTACATTTACAGTATACCCTTATCCCAGAATTTAGCTAATGCCTGGAAAGCTTCATCATAGAAAGATTTGTCAGTACACCTGAACCATCCTACGACATACGTGAATGATTGTGTTCACCGTTCCCAAAGAAAGATTAGACTCTTGTGCAATTTCACGACAGGTTATGCCTCAATTATCCAGGATCAGGTGTGAATATTCACAAGAACGACTGCTATGAGCTGGGAACCACCACAAGTAGGATCATCATTGATGGACATAGGGCCATCTTTGAAAAGTTTACACCATCCAAATGTCTTACTGCAACTGAGCATCTCATCACCGTACTGTGCTTGAAGTCTTCTATAGATATGCGCAGGTTTTACGCCTTCATTCACAAGAAACTTCATCACCACAGGCTGTCCCATGCACGCACTAACACTGTTGTCTGCCATCTCGCTTAATGGTCTCTGGACTGGTCTGCAACATGTGCACCGCCTATCAGTAATAGGACACACTTCCCACTTACTACTGTGTGTAGTACCGCCATGCTAGCATCCCTTTTTATACCTGTAAAATTAAAAGTCCCAGTTTGACTTGAACGCCCCTTGTAAAATGACCAATAGGGGGCATTTCAAATCTATGTCAGAATTAAAGCCATCTAACTGTGAAAGCAAGTAAACTGGGAGCGATTTATAATTTAAATTAAAATCATAATTATAATTTAAAAGTAGCACAATCAGATTCAGTCATGTTAAAAACAACTGAGAAAGGATAGGAGTTTACGTGTAAAAGTTGCATCCTTGATTCACTAATCAACACAACAACACTATTCCAATGTTTATCCAGAGAATATCAGATTGTCTTTGGGGGTTCAGGAAGAATTTTTCCCTGCTGGAACAAACTGGACCATGCTTTATTGTTGTTGTTTTTTTACTTTAATCATTTATTGAGTTTTTTTGCCTTCCTCTGGATCAACTGGGTATAGGATTGTGTATATGGAGGTCTTTAATTTTTTTTGTATTGATTGATGGATTGATGGCTAGATGGATTTGTGTCTTTTTTCAATCCGGCTTACTATGTAATTCTATTAAATGAAGGATGGAAGAAGCACACACATACACACTCGCACACATTCACACATACTATATACACATCCATTGACACACACAACACACACACTGACACATGCACACTTTTTTTCTCCTTGACGGATTTATTGATTCATCCAGTATTTATTCAGAAGGAGACAACATGACACTTTTATATGTAACAAAAGGCACAGTGTCATGTCAGCTGACCTAAATTTTGTCCAAAGTGACAGTGTTACAAAAAACTCCCCTTCAAGCCTAATTTTCTGCTTCGTATTTTTTTGCCATCAATACATGAGCCAGTGCAATAGGTGACACAAATTAGCTGAATGCGGCATGCTGTCTGTTCCCTCTCTCTCTCTGTTCCTGCACTTGACTTATGTCAGCTAAAGTACTGCAAAATGAAAGAGAAAAGTAGCTTATGGTGGCCATCTCCTTTTTCTATAGGAAAGAAAAATACTGTACATCCTTTATTACCATTTTTTTTTCTATGTTTCTCTTCTGTTGCTTTTTGGTGGAGATGAAAGGGGAAGAAAGTCTCCCCATCTGCTAGGTCATGCCTACAAGACACATTCTGTCTGGTCTTAAAAGCAGAAACAGCCTTGCCTGTGGGATACCTATAATTATTATGTGCAAGAGCCTTGTGCCTGTTGAAGCTCATTGTTCTGCTAACACAAGCCTGAATGAGAACAGTGGCTTCAGGCTGTGAGTTGATAAAGTGCAACTTTTCGATTTTGTTCGGGCATTATGCGGAATCTGTGAGTGACATCTTTGGCCTTCCTTTGGGCTCAGCAGATTGAATCTGTCAAGCTGAGTTAAACAATGGATAAAGGACATAACCTTAGCATAGGCTGTCATTTTTCCTTACTAATTCAAACTACATTTAATCAATGGGAAGTCATTCCTTGTTTGTTTAAGTCTTCTATACAATGGATAGTCGGAATACTCAAGAAATTTGTCTTTGCCCTGCCCCTTTCCCCCTTTTGGCCTTTACAACAATAAGTAACGCTAAAAGGATCAAGATGAAATTGCCAAGTGACAAACCTTCTGTGAGGTCTATAATATCTGTGCCCTTGCAAGTTCAACGCTAATAACCCAAGAAGCAGTTTATCAGACAAAAGACAGAAATGTAAAAAATAAAGTCGTCTGGGATGCTTAGATCAGTTAAATGATCACTGTGTTATTGAAAGGACTTTACTGTACAACATTCTATATTGCCTGATCAAATACCTCTTCTACTGACGTGAATGCATTGGATTATGTTTTATATTTTAACATTATTGCATTGTTTGAAAAAGGTTATTGCTGTTAATTAAAAAAAAAATTATAAAAGCAGAAAGCAATGTAGTACAGTATATAGGGGTGAGGAGAATTGAACTGCTATTTTAATGGATGGACTAATGCACAGTGGGTGGATGTTGGCAAAGCATCAGTGATTCACCTGGGTGAATTGATTCACTCAGAGGTGAAATGGTAAAGGGGCCCTTCCAACTGCAGTTATAACTCAGTAACAGATGCAATTTGTGTTTCAGTATGTATTTGGCAAAGCCAATCAAAAAACTTCTTCATGTTCCAAGTATACAGTAATCCAGAAGAGTTGGGAGGAGGTTAAAAACAGGAGGTTGACCCATATTTCTAAGCCCCCCCTGGCTGTCTACCTCTAAATTAAC